CCCCCCCCCCCCCCCCCCATACCGCCAAAGAAATGGAGCTCATTGATCGTCCTGTCCGTGACTGCTCATGTGTCTTCCCTCAGCCCTCTGTGCGCTCCGAATACGTGAGAGGCGCTGCGAAGGCGCACGCTTAGGCGGATCCCTGGACTTGTGCTTAGCTCTCAAACGCCGGATGTACTCTCGCATGCGTGAATACTTCTCGCAACCTAGGTGGAAGAGGTACTCGTAGGGATAGATACCACCAGAGTGACCATCTGAAAAAACGATACGGAGGGCATAATTGCCAACAGGAATAACATCTGTAATGGTGATGCCACGACGTCCATAAATAAGGACGTCAGAGCCAATGACATCTGTGCTCGGAGAATACGCCCGCAGAAATTCTGCAAGAAAGCGCGTGCGGTGTTCTTCAAGAGGTCTCCTCTGACGTAAATCACTACTTACCGTTCTTGCAGGCGATTCCATGGTGTGGTGCAGAGCCGCATCATTACCATCATCATCCCCATCTGCGGCGGCACCCTTCACTGTATGTGCCATTGTTTCTTTTTGGTTTTCCACAGCACGGAGTGCGGCCGAGGGCCAGACAAGCTCGATGTAAAGTTTTTCTTTTGATACGATAACCTGCAAGGGCACGAGATGCGCCCGCAGACTCCGCTGCAACGTGAGCCGTTCCGCAAGATTCTCCTGCATGGAAACCCGCCGCGGGTATGGGCGACGTGGCTCCGTGATGCATTGCTCGCTGAGTGGCATGAAATGCGTGTCCGCCAATGACGACATATGCGACGTCACCGCAGAGCTGAAGCGGCTAATAATAGACGTGAAGCGTCGCTGCTGCTCAAGCAACGGTCTCATCATTGACGGTTGCAAGCAGAAAGTAGACGACACCCGTCCACAAAACGTATGACCGATGAAAAACAATTTCGTAAGCCGCGTATACATTTAAAATTATTTTCTGTTTTTATTGCAGCTCCTTCCCTCCACCGTTACTTCGGTAAATGCACTACACGTGTGTCAATACACACACATCACAGCCTTGAGGAGGGGACAATGCAGCATCAAGAAACACATCGTATCGGCATATATAATGAAATGTCAACAACATACATATATATGCGCAAGATAAAAAAAAAAAAAAAAGAAAAAGAACTACCCCTGTATATACATATAAACATATATATGCCTTACTCAACCTTCCATTTCGACGCTGTCCACCCGTCATGGTTTCTCCCATCATCAACGGCATTTTTCTCTCTCCCTCTCTTTTCTTTTTCAGCGGGGATCCTCCTCCTCTTCCCACTTCAATCATGCACCCACCCATACAGCGTAAGGACAAACAGAGTGCATCAAAGTACACAACATCATTTGCCTCACAGTTTCCATGTGCGCTCTTTTAGTCCAGGCACACGCTTCGGATAACGCACCGCATCCTCCTCCGAGGTGCCCCACAATTGCCTCCGTCGCAAGATGTAGTCGTACCAGCGATCGCCCATCCACCGCGGGAGCATGTAGTATAGGCAGCGAAAGAGTGTACGCAGCAACCATCGATCCAGCTTCATCCCAATACGGCATACCGCCTCGTATTTCACAGATACAACAATGTCCACATCCTCCTCCACACCATCAAAACCGCCCGCGAGCCCTCTTGGGGTTGTTACACTGGACGAGGCAAGAGGAAAAGAAAAATTGTTCGTTTGAAAGAAATTCTTCAGGCCCCTTTTCTCTTCACTGCTGTTCATGCCGCCTGTTCGTCCCTGTTGACGTCGCTGTTTTTGCCCTTGTCTTACGCGACTTAAAAATGAAGCCGTTTTTGATGGCACCTTCTCAATCAGCACAACACCATCCGCATCGTTTAAAAGATGTGGGAAGTTGCGGCGCACCTCACGCCACTCAACGGAGTCAAAGCTGCAAAACAACATTTTGTTCGCCTCCAGTTTCACCGGATCAACGCCCTGCATGATGCGAATAAAACTAAAGTACGAGAAATTGCGTTCCAACACGTGCCGCACACGTGCCTGACACATAAGACAGTGCCCATCGAAGACCACAAGATTCCGTGGGAGTTTGCGCAAAATATTTTGATACGACCGCCCGCGGTAAAGTTGTGACATGAACACGTCGACTCCACGCCGAACAACAACAAAAAAGGACGGCTGAAAGGGAGGCAAAACACCCAAGCCACGCAGATACAACACCGCACTACCCTCATTTCACAAGAAACCAAGAAACAAAAAACAACAGCTACATTCAAAGCTCATCATTCGCCATCAAAGGCAACAACAAGTGTGACAGCAACAACAATAAACCACGTCAATCGTTACAATAAGATATCATCAACCATAAAAAAATAAAATATGGTTATTAAAGACGTACATTTGCAATACCAATTCGCTCGCAATCCTTCTCACCTTCTTCGGTTCAATAATCCTGAGTTTCTCAATGATAAAAAACAAACAAGATAGAAATAAAAAAAAAGAAAAAAAAGAGATAAATGGAATGAGAATAAATTCACACTATCCCCAAAGTTTAACACCAAGTAGGTATATATGTATATATACTATGCATGTATGTACATATATGTAGTTAATTGGCAGACTTTGGGGGGTTCTCCAACCACAAGACCCCGCCGCGTGGTGGGAATCAAAAGGGGATGGGTGGGTGAGAAGGTAAAAAATAAAAATAAAAATAAAAATTTGCCTGGCCGCCATCGATTCCCTACTCCTCCCTGCTCCCCTAAAGTCGTGTTCTTCCCAACAATTCATATGGTAGAAAAGTGTCATAAAGAGGTGTATTCCTTTTACCAGGATATATATAGATATATACAAATTAATTATGTTAGCCAGCACTCCCGTAATTATTCTCTTCACAAGCTCCTAGCCATAATAAAACAACAACAACAAAAACAATATCAAGAATATGCAGTTGAATGAGGCCCTTTCCTCCTACTCTCCCAAAAAGAAGACGAGGACAATGAGAGGTTGCATTTTGGTTTAATGCACAACGAAATATCCCCAAAACTTCGGAAGGGAGTTGGCCCTTCACTCATTTACCAGAAAACAAGCCTATGCATCCAAATGGAATAGGTGAAGATAAGTAGAGTCGCCGTGAACTCTCCCTCCGCGTAAAGGGCAGTGGTGGTAAATGAAGAGAGGGAGGAAAACAAAGCCGCTCTCGCTGCCTTGCAATGCGGTGCCGTTGGAGAGAAATCTCAATTAATATATAAAGAAAAGAAGAGGTTCAAAATGCATTGCCATCCGACAAAATTCTCCCCCCCCCCCCCCCCTCCTTCTTCTGAGCGTACGTCCCCTCCAAAGCGTCCAACAAAAACAAACAAACGAAAAAGGAAAATCCTCTCAACATCTTGATTCGTTTTCATTATTATTTTTTCCTCCTCCCATTTCGTTGGTAACTTGGATACCTCCCCCAGATGCACAAAACAGCGGATGGGAAGGATAGACAAAACCTATGAAAAGTAAAAAAATGAAAATAATAGTAATAATAATAATAAAGGCAGCTTCGAATTATAAGTCTCTCCATACTTTTTATCGCCCTTCTCTTTTCCTTTCTTCTCGTTTTATGCATGCGTCTTGGGTTCGTAAAGTTATGTTTCATCACATGTTGTATTCTTTCTTGTTTCGTTCGTAGTGCTCCTCCAATTCCTTTTGCGCCTGATGCATCTCTGGTGTCATTTCCTTGTACACATCGTCATGCATCGAAGATACCGGCCACTTGGGCAATTTCTCCTGCCTGTGCAGCTCCGCAAGCGTTTCTTGCCGCACTTTCTGAGTCAAACTCCGCGACTGCTCGGGAGTCCACAGCGACTTTCTTTCCAAATACTTTTCAAACCGGGCAACTGGTAAAAAGAGATTTGAAAACACTTCCACTTCTTCCCGTGAACGGTACCATGTACTGTCATCAGAGGAAGAGTGATGGGAGCTACGATATACCAGGGCTTCCACGAGAACAGGTTGATTCGTCGTGCGAATAAGTTCACGTGCCTTGCGTACTGTTTGAAACACCGCCAAAATGTCATTTCCATCCACACGGGCGCAGGGAATACCGTAACCGATGCCCCGAGCAAAAATACCATCGCCAGCGTACTGTGAAGACGACGGTGTAGAGATGGCGTAGCCGTTGTTACGTATCAAAAAAAGTGTGTTGGATTTCATCGTTGCGGCCATGTTAACCCCAGCGTGAAAGTCCCCCTGGCTGGCAGAACCTTCGCCAACAAAAGCGGCACAAATACGTTTCTTGTTGGGATCCGTCTCACGTTCGTTTTCAAGACGACAAACATATCCAGTACCAGCAGCATGTGGAATTTGAGTCGCCACTGGAGAGCTGATCATATGAACATTGAGCGCGCGTGAACCATAGTGGATAGGCATTTGTCGACCTTTAAGTTCATTCTCAATGGTGCCCATACATTGCGCTACCATATCCTTCACCGTGTATCCACGGTACGTAAGGGCAGCCGCCTCCCTATACTGCAAAAATAGTTCGTCACGCATATCCAATGCCGCGGCGGTGCCCACCGCAGAGGCTTCTTCACCCATACTCGTCATATAAAATGAAATACGCCCCTGACGCTGTGCCTCCATCAAAATAAGGTCAATACTCTGCTGACGCAACATTGCTTCCATCATTTTAATCAGCGTCTCTTTGGGCACCTCTGGTTCCTGCTTCGGGTTTACTACTCTCCCATCGAGGTCCAGCACATGGAACATTGGCGTGGATGGATACTTTCGCTGATGAAATGTGAGTTCGTCCACTGTCGGGGTGCCTCCAAAGTCCAGATTCCACACCGATTGTGCCTTCGTAAGAGCTTCCTGCAGCGCGCGGCAAAGAGGCCGAGGTGTACGAAAGAGCCCGCCGGAATGCATAAGTGCGTGCGATGACTTGCGAAACATAGCCCTTGAATTTTATTTCAATCCTCTCACCGAGAAGTAGAGCCTCTTATGCTAAAAAAGGAGCAACAAGAAACCAAAAAAAAAAAAAAAAAAAAAAAAAAGAGAGAGAGAGAGAGAGAGAGGAAAAGAGAGTCAAGCGATACGTCCATAAAAAAAGTATTCCAATGGAGGTCCACGCAGTCCACAACGGTAGCAGCAGATGAAGTGGGTCTTCAACCCCCAACCTTTGTTGTTGTTGTTGTTGTTGGGTCTCGTCGTTGCTGTTGCCGCCGTTGCTACCATCGCGGCTCGGATAGGATGACTAAAAAATAAATTGCATCAGTACGTTCTATACATCAAAGAATGAAACAAACAAACAAAAAGAAAAAAAAGCGGCGAGGTAAATTCGTTGTGGCTGACTCATTCGTCCCGCTTGTTACCACTCACTCTTTGCTTTGGGGAACCTCCCCCTTGTTATTTTTTTTTTTTTTTTTTTTTTTGAGTGTGGGATTGTGTGTTTGCATGTTGACTCTACGCCTCCGTTAGATCATCGTCGTAGTAGAGGTGTAACGCCGGGATGTAAAAATCCGCGTTCAATCCTAGAGACTCAAACTCCTCAGACTCATCGACAATGCCATTTTCATCCAGCGTCTTCGTCATGTCAAGGTCGCGCCCATCTGGGTCATGACGACGCCAGGTGTAGCTCAGTGCGTGTGCATTATATTTGAGGAATCTGGTATTGACAATCTCAAACAAATTCTCCTCGGCGCACACCTCAAGTGTGTGTTCTGCACCATTAAGAGTGTTGATGATACGTATCTTGCGTGTCTTGCGGGTGAGGTTGCCAATGACGTATTGCTCGTCTTTCCACCACGGCACCTCGTAGCTAAGGTCAATGTTGCTATCCGGAAGAACGGTGGGTATGTGGGCAAAACGACCAAACGGTTGAGCGTACGTACGAAATCCTGTCTCGGGGTCGATGCATGTCTTCAGGTCCATCGTGTTCTTGTCATACCAGTGGGAGATGTCGGTGCCGGCGGCGCGAATGAGTGGCTGCACAAGGCTGGCAAAACGCGTGCCTTGGTACCGCTGAATAAGCGGAGTAATGTCTAGAACTTTGCCGTTGGCGGAGATGAATGCGTCATCCTCAAAGCAGTGGGCACGGACCTCCTTTGGAGTGTAGTAGCGCGGCATTGCTCTGCGGGGATCACACACAAACACACTCTCCCTTCGTTCACTTTCAAAAGCCCTCCTCTTTTTTCTTCCTTTTATTTATAAAGGTTTTTCCTCTCAAAAGAAGGTCTCTGCGTGTGGGAGCGTCCTTTCGCGGCAAAGAAATCCTTTCCGCCCAAAAGAAAGCAGCAAAATCACGCCACCACAGCCACTCCCCCCAGTCTTTTTTCTCCTCGTATTCTTTTTTTTTCTGTCTTTGGTTCAGTTATGATGGCGACAACACGTCGGAGGTACTCCCGTTGGCGTGTTCGCTGGATGCCACGCAAGACAGCTATGCGTCCCCGCCACCGTTGCCGCGGAACCTCCTCCCTCCTAACTTCCCCCCTCCCCTTGCGGTTGGAGAACTCCAAAATGGATGATGCACGCACGCAAAAGGGGGGGAAAAAAAAAGGATTAATTTCCTTCCCCTTTTTGACCCTTTCTTTTTTCCGTGCGAGTGTGTGTGGTAAACATCCATGACCACGAGGAGAAAAAGAAACCAGAAAAATAATAATAATAATAATAAGAAATAGAAAAAAAAAAAAGGGGATGTAAATAGACATTCAAAGAGATAACGCCACAACTCTCCTTCCCTCTTTCATTGCTTTACTGCACCAAACTGCAATATATATATATATAATTACCAAAAGAAAAAAAAATAATAAAAGGCAACAGAACTTAGCAACAATTTTTCTTTTTTTTTTTTTGTGATTTTTCTCCAACACATTTAGTGTGTATCCACAAAGTTGAGTGTTAAAAAAACTTTTTTTTTTTTTTCCACTCCTTCACACATCGTCGCATCGCCCCCTTCAAGAATTTAAGAGGATAGAGGCAGCCCAGCCACCGTCATTAATTACTGCTGTGGTTGCCTTTACTTCCCCCTCACGCCCTTTTAAAAGTCTGGCGTCGTAGCTATAAAACACTCGCTTTTCTTCAACATTCACACATCGACGCAGATGCAGTTGCAAACGGTCATCCGCTTCCACCTCCAACACGTCTCGTGGTTCAACGGCAAAGAAACACGGAAACCAACTAAACATCTCGGGAGTCCGTTCCTCAGGTGTGGTTGAAAGAGTCGTTGAAATATCAACGTCCCCCACATTATCCACACCACAATTTGATTTGGAAGCAAACAATACGGCTGTAAAGTACCCAATGAAGCCGCTGCAACGACCAGCAGTGTTCATGCGAAAGGTGAGCAAAGCTTCCCGCTCCTTCTGGAAATCCCTCCCTGTAAAGTGCTGAAAGGTCCAACAAGGCTGCGGTGTAGATAAGGAGACGCCACGACACAAATCCGTAACAAACATGGAGTGAAATATCGCTGCACGACGGTCATGGCACCATGGCAACAACACCGTGAGTCCCGAGACAGCTGTATCTGCAAGAGATTCTTCCATCCGTCCTGAATACAATGGGGCAATCCAGGCAGTGTACTCTTGTGGAATGGAGACCATGTGTGGGTTCGGCGGAATTCCCATCGAGTTCTGGTAGCGTCGAAAATCCTCACAAAAACCGTCTATGCACTCTGGGCTAAGTTCATTGTCACCGAAGCTTCCCAGTAGCTCCGACACAACCAAGTCACACAAACCCCAAAGCTTCGGCAGAGGCCCTTCTATCGTCGCCGTCACTGCTCGTCCATCTGCGCACATGGTCTCTACCAAATGACCGCAAGCACTTATATTATAACACCATTGGGGATCTGAACGCAATCGAAGACGAATAAACTCCATCGCCTCAGGGTTCTTTTCCACCGCAAACAAATGAACACGAATACCAATGGAAGAAGCAGCGGCCAAACATTCCGCAATTAAGGGACCTCGGCCAGCACCCAAGAGAACCACGTACGCAACATCCATTTTGTCACCTCCTGTGTTCTTCAGATATTTACTGCATAGTCTCCCGTGTCCACGTTCGTCATGGTGCTCTAACCATTCACGGAAGTAATTCAACATTGCAGCATGATAACGCTGGTATTTGACAAAGTCGCACTCAAAGACTTCATACACGCCGCTTGACAACATGTGTCCTAGCGGCTGCAATGGTAGTTGTAAGATGTCCTCAAAGCTTGAAAAGTTGTCCCTCCTATTATCTAATACATGTCTCTCATACAGCTGGTTTAGTAGCGTGTAAGCTGGAATAAAATCTTTAACCGAAAAAATAGGCGCCGCCCGTCGTCGAAGCAGTTCTACAATAAATGCCGCCAAGGAGATGAAAGGAGGTTGGGCTGTCGCCCAGTAAGAATTAATAAGAGGCAAAATATCCTTCGGCAAATTTGAGTCTGGCTCAAGGTGGAATGGACCAGACCGCAGTGCACGCATCAATTTGTCAATATGTGGGACCTCAAACGCCACAACAGGCTCCCCAAGCCATTCAGATGGAAGTGCCCCGAATGTCTCAGAAAAGTACAAGTACGGCGTAACTCTGTGTAATGCCTCACGAGCAACGCAACCCGCAGCATCGGTCAAAGAAGGTGGGGCGTCGCCCCACATAAGTGCGGTGCGAAGTCGAGAAAATGCCACACGATGAGCCTGGGAGGAGGCATCACAGTAAACCCAAATGTTTGTCGTCCGATTTTGCCGCAAGTGATCCGTAAGAACAGTGACAGCGTCGGTAAATGCAGGAGTTGTAACGTCACCATTAGGAAGCGGCACCAACACCGCACTAAGGCCCAAAAAGGCCGCAAGGCGAAGCAAACCAGGAAACGGACTTCGTTCGTCAGCTGAGAGATCCCATGACGACGCTGTGACGCGGCCACAAACAGAAGGCCCCCAAGATCCTACCCGACTCAGTAAACCCCACGTTTGATCCATTCCACTTTTCATGCCGTCCAAATTGGAAGCCAAAGCGGCAAGAGGGGAGCATCCAGTCGTCTGCCGGCCACTACTCCCATCAGCCGCAGCCTCATCAATGGGAAAGACACACATTGAGGCCCCACATGCTGCCTGTTGTTGCAACGCAAACTGCAGCATCTTCCCGGCAGTAAACCCAAAATGTCGAAGGCTTAAACTCTGAAAAACGCCCTCCTCGGAAGGCATAAGCCACGCCGTCCGTGACTCAAAAAAACCGCGTCTTTTTCTCTCATTCGCCATGGAGGCGGCTGTGGCAGCAACGCTTTCCATTAAATTTATAGAATTAACCCACTTTACAAAAAATGACACACAGAGGACAGCAACGACTAAAAAAACAAAAACTAAGCAACCTCAAAAACAAAAACAAAACAAAAAAAAAAAAAGAGTATACAATGCCAATGCATTACAAAATGTAAAAAAAAAAAAAACAAGCAAACAAACAAACAAAAAACAACAACACCAACGTGCAATATATAAATATATGATCAACAGAAAGCACGACGATACACACACACTATATATATATATATATATATATATATATATATTCTCAAGAAATTTCATTATTTATTTTGAGCAAATATCCTAAACGACATTTCATTATCAAAGAGACCGACTCCGTAGTCATTTCCATTCTACAACATCTACTCCAACATGGCCTTCCGCTCCCTCACCAATCCCAGCAAATGATCACGGGTAAATGGTCCGTGACCGCTTGTAGCATTATTTCCAGTCAAATTCCTGCGACCCCATTGACCGCTGTCGGAAAGGCCGTTTTGTAACTGATCTCCAGCAAAACGTGGGGTAGAACTGCGTGACGGAATGCTAGCCGTGGGTTTGTCTCTTCTAATCCCTCCTGTCGTGGCGATCGCCTTTACATTGGCACCATATTGAGAGCCATCCATGCTCGTGATTCCTTCATTTTTTCCCCCATTTCTACTATCATCGACTTCTCCTCCATTGATCTTCGTCTTACCTGTCCCCGTTCCATTTTGCATGCGCAATGGCGGGTCATTGATGCCTTTCTCCTGCAACATCTCCACCGGAGCAGCGCCCCGTTCTCCCGTGGAGCCTCGCTTTAACTCCTCGAGTCGTTGCCACTGCATTTCTAATTTGAACAGTTCATCGCGTATTCTTTGAGACTCTTGGGATAATAACGGAATTCCTTTCCCTTGTGATACCTCGCGCTCCATGTTGTATTCTTTGCCCCCGACTGTGTCAGCGTCATCAAGAAGGTTGCGTGTTGCCGACGATTTCCGTGCCGCTGCCGATGGTAGTGGTGGGGCTTTGGCTAATGCTGCTTCCTTAAAAACGGATGCATTCCTAATAAATTTCGATGGATCACGTTGAAATTCTTCATAGCTGCTACGTAGGCGCTTATAAAGGTCTTCAATACCCTTAAGGTACTCGGCCACGCGCTCATCTTGCCTTGCGGCTTCTTGGTAAGAAGTATGATGAATACCGCTATGCCTAGCAGCATTAGATAAGCGACTGCTGTTATCGTTTCTGCTTTTCACACCCGCATGATTTTTATGCCCACGGCTGTGATCACGAGATGTATTTGACATTCGTACATTTTGGTGGGAAGGTCGCTTTTCCATAGCGTCCTTTAAACGAGGTGAAGGTACTTTGAGTGCACATGCCTCAGCGTAGTAATTTCTCCGTTGCTGATGTGCCATTGATCTACTGGATGATCGAGAGTTTGTCACGATGTGCCGTGAATTGGCAGAAGAGGGGCTGAGCCTTCTCGCAGATGCTGGTGTTGCACAAATTTTATTTCGCCCACGTGTTGACGATAGGTTTTTAGGTGCCTGACGCCCTCCTTTCATGGAGCCCTTCACAGGGTCTCTAACTGATGTATGGGAGGCGCTGGCACGCAGCTGACGCCTTTTCGCCTCACGAGCAATCAAACGCATATGTTCCTCTTCTTGCGCTGATATCGAAGGTTGACGCCTGGAACTCCTTCGATGTGGTGAGGGCCCTCTTCCTCTTCGAGGACCTGGCTCCGTCACACTGCCTTCGTTATCATCATCCTCGTCGTAGTCGTCGTAGATAATTGACTTATTATCCTCACGATAATTTTCCCACTGCTGTTCCTTTGGATGTTGAGGACCCTGCAACAGCGGAAACCACGGCGGAGGGGGTGGGATATGGCTCCAGTCCATGTTTGGAGAGATTGGTAAGAAGGGCGGCAGCATGTGTGGTGGAAACGGAAAAGTGGATGGAAATGGAATGTCTTGTGGCGTCGGCCACTTTGCGGCCGCCTCACCACAGTTTTCGCCACACGAAGCGCCCGAGGTGTTGTGTGGGATGGGTGGTGGTGGGATCCACGGGGCATCCTGCGGTAGCGTCCAGTACGTGGCCGGAAGAGGCGGCGGCCAGCCGACACCCCTCGAGTCGGCTCCACTGCTACCCCCAAAAAAGAAGGACGGAGGAGGAGGAGGAGGTGGTGGCGGCATATAACCGCTGCCCCCGACACCATTCCTGGTGCAGTTCGCACTATCGTATGAGATGCCAGGATGCTGCGGACTCACGCTACTAAAGCGATTAAAGACAGTCGACGTCGTCGCCTCGGGGTTCCCACCGGAACGGTTCGAATGCCTGAGATCATTTAGTCGCGGCGATGTGTGCTCCGCAAGGTGACAGCTGTCCAAAAATGTGTGAGGCTCACGACCTTCACGCCGTTCCCTCATCGTAACTGTCGTCATACAAAACCCCCCACCCAAAGAAAAGTCGTAGAGAAAAGTAGAAAGGGCGCACGCATCACATAAATGAAGGGGAAAGGAAAAAGGAATTAGGTACAATTCACACAAAATCCGCCCCATGCTGTTTATAAGCAATTCTTTACACTTCTCATCCCTTTCCACAGCTGCGGGGGGGGGGGGGGGGGGGCGCGCACCGGGTATGGAATACGCCAGCCGCTCTCCGCCACCACAAGCTGCTTCTCCTCGCCCCCCTCTCTAAATGCATACAAATATATACGTATATACATATACACATGTACATTATCTTTTTTCAGGGCGCAGTACGTACAAGAAAGAAGAGTAAAAGGCACTTGCCATCCAAGAAAATAACAACAACAACAACAACAAAAAGGAACGCCATGTACAGTAAAACAAACCCAACAACGACAACTCAGCAGGAGAAATTTTTAGTCGCTCCAGGCTTCCACCATCAACACCAATACAAACTGCGGTCACTTGGGTAACCGCACAGCGCGGAAAGAGAAAAAAAAAAGGTCTAAGAGAGAAAGAGAGAAAAAAAAAGAAGGCGTCCATATATGTATAAAAACATTAAGAATAATACTCGTTCCTCCCTCTATCCATTATTATTATTAAATCCTCTTTTTTTTTTTTTTTTTTTTCTTCTTCCTCTTCCTGCGCTCCCATTCGGAAAGGAAATCTAAATAAGACTTCTTCCTCCCCGAGAAGGTAAAAAACAACAACAACTCTAACTGACAAAATGTGACTGCCATCCCGTTACCGTACTCGCATAGCGAAGGAGATCGTGCCGCATCCGTTCCTTGCTCTCCCGCTTCATGTATTGACACATGCGACGGCTCTCCCGTAGCGAGTGTGAATGATACTCTGCCAACTGTCGGGTGCGTTCCATCATAAGATCTTCTGCGGTACGAAGATCATTACAGGCAGCAGCCATGATGGCTTTGTAAGCGCTGCGGTACTTTTGATCCTCATCCTTAATCTGCCGCATACGCTCCAATTTTTCCCGTCGATCTTCTTCCAATGACTGCCGTAGATTCTCGCGTAGTTGTCGCGTTGCGTCGTTGTGTCGTTGGAACATTTTCCGCCGAATTTCCTTCTGGAGATCATCAATGAGACGTACGGAACGAAGCATTTCAATCTTTTCATTTCTCAGGGTGTAATCAATCATGCGCTTCGGTTCTTGGCGGAGGAAATCCTCTTTTGAGACGGTGTCTGGAACGAGACTGCGAGGAAACACAACCTTGGGCTTCTCGCGCCGCCTGAGTCTCCTGGCAACTTTCCCATCATGGTCAAAGAAGCCAACCTGACTGCTGTCGAGGTGGCGTGGCACCCCGGTCCGCTGACGTCTCTCACGTTGGCGGGCCTCATTTATCAGTTGTTCTTCCATTAGGCTCAACCGTTCCCGTACATCCGCAATGTCGGAGGAATTAATGACCCGATTGTATTGTTTGGGCGGGATGACCTCGGCGTTCCATGCATTCACTAACTGGTTTGTGGGTATTTCTTCCTCATCTCCATTACCATAACTACCAGCACTGCCGCCGTATTCATGTTCATCCTTTACAGGGGTTCCCATAAGAATATCCTCTTCATCCTCATCTTCCTCGCCTGATCTCATGAAGGCAACATCCCCCGTGGTACCCCCACCCGCCCTTTCTTCCATTTCTGGGACATGTCTATGATGGCCGTGGTGCGTGTGATGTGGGAGAGAGAGCGGTCCTGGGAGCTGACCGACACGTTCCTCGTCCATATCCAGAGGAGCAACCTTAGCATGTTCCTGAGGGAATTGGGCAAAATGCATTTCATCCATGTGTAACATTCGTTCCCCTTCTTCCACAGTTCTTACTGGGGCATACCACGTTCCATCTTCTGCGGATTCATGCGGTAACTCTGCTAACACCGGTCTTGACACAGCTGTAGGCAACAAATTTCGCGTTGACGGTAACTTCCCAGAGCCAACTGGAATGGAAGCACCGGCCCCCACACCCCCTTGCAGTCTCATTTTGTATGCAATATTCAAAAAAAGCGTAATTAGTCGACTGATGTGCTCTTCATTAAATTGTATAATCTGCTCTGCGTCAATGCCCGCAACGTCAATACCCCTCTTGTCTCGCAGTTCATTCAATACGCGTGTGACATTCCATTGCTTTTGTTGCAGCGTATATGGGGAGCTTTCAATGTCTTTGATGGTACAGTTGTAAAGACGCTGGTAAAGAAGCACAAAGAGGCTAGAAGAGCATTGTTGAAGGGACGTGATGGCCTTCTCAAGCGATATGGAGCACATCGCAACGAGCTCATTCACATCGTCACATGTCACCTTCGGTGTTTCCATTGTTTCTACTGGAGAAAAAGAATTTTTATACCCCTCACAATAATTTCCTTTTCCTCACGTTTGATGAATGTTGTGGTGATCGTCCGTTCGCCCCCTCACTGGTTTCTTCGCACAAACGGACGGGTGTTGTGTTGGGTGATTCGATGCTCTCACAAATACAAAATAACCCGCAAGAATCCCTGCGAAAAAAAAAAAAAAAAAGAAAAACAATCCCTTTGGCTTTGGTCTCCCCCCCCTTTACCCACTCACGCACAAAACGCCGCCCCTCCCCCTGTGCTAAAAAGCACTGCGAAGTTGCAGGAAGTGAGGGGTGATCAGGAAGAGCCGAGCCCTTCGCTTTTAAAAAAGCCACAAAACAACTACCCCAATAAAAAAAAGAAAAAAGAAAATAAATAAATAAATAAGAAGTTCATACGTATCCACACACGCATGCAGGCGTAAAACCATCTATTAGAAAGACACATACACACACACAGGGACAGGGACAGAGACAGCAATATAGAGAAAAAAGGGAGAGAGCACACTTGAATCCAGAAAAAAACAACAACAACAAACAACCAAAAGAGCGACTTGGGGAAATTAATTTCGTTTTACCTCATTTCTTCTAAGATTTTATCGCATATACCAATAATAATAATAAAAAAAAAGCATAACGGTAAATAATAAAAGATCATGGGACCATGTGTTTTGTGTAAATGTACACATGCATGTAAAATCATATGGACCTCACCTTCTACTACGGCAAGCCTCTTTTTTATGATAATGGTAATTGCTTTTTTGTTCTTGACGTTTTTTTTTCTTTTTTTTTGCCGTCCTTTTCGTCATTATTCATGACTGCTACTTCCCCCCCCCCCCCTCTTCCCTTCCCTGCTCAGTTGGTCCATTTTCCATAGCATCAGCGGATGGTTAAAGATACATGGATACAATTTTGTGGTGGCAGGGGGCTTTGGGCATTATCCGAG